TCATGGAATTGTGTTGATCGACTATCTTGAAAAAGGTAAAATAATAACAGGGACGTACTACGCATCATTGCTTGACAAGCTGAAGGCAGAAATTGAGAAAAAACGACCGCATTTGAAAAAGAAGAAAGTGCTGTTCCATCAAGATAACGCACCGTCTCACACTTCGGCGGTCGCCATGGCAAAAATTCACGAATTGCGGTTCGAATTAATTGACCATCCACCGTATTCACCAGATCTGGCCCCCAGCGACTTTTTTCTGTTTCCTAGGCTCAAAGTTTGGCTCGGAGGGCAGAAATTTTCATCGAACGAGGAGGTTATCGCATCCGTGGACGCCTATTTTGCAAAGCAAGACGCTCAGTATTATTTGAATGGATTAAAGGGGTGGGAGCATCGCTGGAAAAAATGTATCGACTTAAAAGGAGATTATGTGGAAAAATAAAATTGAATTTGACCGAAAAATTACTTGTTTCTATGTTAGGCTCAAAACTTTTCAGACGACCCTCGTATATGCACTGTCACGTTGTTGCGAGAACGCGATCAGAAGTGTTACGCACACGCCATACACGTTTTTGTTAAAATCGTACATAACATTCGTCGAATAATTGATTATTTGGCACATTACTGCGGATATATAGTATTTGGTTATGTGCTGAATATATTATATTCGTTGCATTTCCATTCTTCTGAACTATTTTATAAAACTGTGCATAAAATATTATATTAAATATTTTTACGGCTTCTCTGTATGTAATTTTAAATATGTTTTTTATAGATAGTTCTTTTATATTATATAGATATTTCAGATTAACTTAAAAATTGATATGCGATAAGTGAACAATGAATAAAAAATTAAAATTGTATTACAATATGTATTAAGTGTACTTTGTGTATACCGAAAAAAGAGTCTGGCTATAGCTACGAAATGTTGAGTGAAAGAATTTAAACTGAATATTTAGATAATATTACTAACAATAATCATAATTCTAATTTTTTAAGTACTTAAAATGAGTACTAAACGGTCATATTAAATATTTATAAAAGTAAAATTATGCTTAATTGTACTACTTATATTAATTGTACTACTTAATATTTGGTTGAAATTATTTTATACGACATTTGGTAGCTATAACCATTCTTCTTTCAGTGTATTCTCTTTAACGGAAATACGATCAAAAAACATAAAAGTTATGATGTCAAAATAGATAAAAATAGATAGTACATTACAATAAAGAAACAATACATTAAATAATTACATTCACATAAATATTATTAAATATTTAATAAGTTGATATAAATTAGGAATCTTTGTTTAATGTAAGTCTAAGTTCTTAATAAAGACATATTTAGAGAAAAATCTTTGTTACCTTCAACTTTGTAAGTCATGAAAGAAGCTACGGTCAAACCTTTTATCTTAAACTCACAGATTTATACATTCTTTCCGTTGACTATTTTTTTTAATCTACTTTGTAACATACTGATCTCAACATGTATTTAATAATTTCTTCGACGCTATCGCAATGTTCTTATCTTATGCATCTACAATATATCTAAAAATATTTTTCGATCAAACAGGAAAAACCTTTTGTTCGAAAACTTTAGAGAAATATTTATCATTTATTGTACTGCCATTTTTTACAGTGTGGAGAAAACTTGTCAATTTTATTATTATCACATAAATGGACAAGAGGAGTAACTACTTAACCACTGAAACGTTACAAAAAAGGAGATAAAAATATTCTCGCGGGCATGAGTCAATGGTGTCATGTCCGGGCACGTCTCGTGTTCAAGCGGTGTCCGATACGGATTGCGCACTCGTCACTCGCGTAAACAGAAATAACTCTCTCTTTTATAAATAATAGAAGTCTTAATAATAAAACGTCAATACAAGTATAATGCCGGGTTGCCACAAGGCTGAACCACAAATGTGAACATGGACGTCAGCAGAATTTTTCTAGGTGGGGGATGGGGAGGTATGAATCTCTCCATACGAAATAGCATATATTTTGCCATTTTTATTATATTTCAATTGTTAAATAATTAAATATCTTTTACATATATACACACATATGTTAATAAAATTAACAAGTTTGCTCTACAAAATAGCGTTTGATACATTTAACTCGGCCCACTTGTTGCAAAGTAATTATAGTTTAGTTGATAGATTCAACTTGAACCTATTGTTTATTTATTCGATCAATATGTAATTTTGGTAGATATAACGAGAAGGTGATATATACATATAATTCGATTGACGAGATCGGCGATTATTCGGTATCAACAAGAAATTTTGATTTATGTGTACATGGAAAAATTTATTTTTCCAACAAAAAACTGTGGTACTTCAATACGAATATATTAATCGTTCTCATTCGGTAATTCGTACAAGAGAATTCTGATTCGTCCGTTTTTTAAAAGACGTTGTTGCGGGATGAAAGAAATTTGTCACACATATAACCTTTCTCCTCGCTTTATTTTGTTAATACTGCTCACTTATCCTCAATAGCCCGTTCGCCCGTGGTGCTACTCGGCCCACCCTCCCTCCTTTCTTGCCATCTCGTGGTGCCGACTCGCGGCGCCCGGTCGGTAATCGTGCGCCTCCTATATCGCCGCGAATACCTTGAACTATTGTCCTCACTGCGTTTACGCGTGAACATCCCGCCGGCCGTTGAAGGTTGGATCCTTCAACTATTACTTGCTACACAGCGAGGATCTTGCTTACAGACTAAGTCTTATAACTAGAGCTATGTTTCAATCGGAAGAATACAAATCTTATTGATAGCGCGTTTGGTGATACCACTTAAGGTTCTTATGCTAACCACGCGTACATAGCCATCACTACCAACGTGAGTTTCGATAATTCGACCTGTACGCCACCTCAGCGGAGGTAAATCCTTATCATTCAACAGAACTAGTGCTCCGATCTTAATTTCGCTGTAATTAGGTTTTTGCCATTTGTAACGATTTTGAAGTGTTGTGAGATATTCGTGAGACCAGCGTTTCCAAAAATTCTGACGCATTTGTGACAACAGTTGGAATCGCGTTAGTCGGTTCGTGGGTGTTTCGATAAGGTCGGGCTCTGGGAACGAGTTTAAAGGCTCACCGATGATGAAGTGTCCAGGCGTGAGTACATCATAATCGTGAGGATCGTTGGAGATTGGACAAAGGGGGCGTGAATTTAATGTAGCCTCGATTTGCGCGAATATCGTACTGAGTTTTTCAAACGTTAGGAGGTTGTTTCAAATGGGTTTTTGCAGATTTTACGACCGCTTCCCAGAGTCCGCCCATATGCGGAGATTGTGCGGGTATGAAGTGCCACTGCACTGATTGGTCTGCTAGAAACCGTTCGATGTTCTCACGATCCTTTCTTAGCATGTTGGAAAGGGCTTGTAATTCATTGTTTGCGCCTATAAAGTTCGTGCCATTGTCCGAAAATAAATTGGCACATCGACCGCGTCTGGCTATGAATCGCTTTAACGCATTGAGAAACGCTACAGTCGTCAAGTCGCTGACTAATTCTAAATGCGAGGCTTTGGTAGAAAAACATACAAAAATGCACAAGTAAGCTTTCCCGGTTTTGTTTCGCGACAATTTTATGGGAAATGGTCCCGCGTAGTCTAATCCCGAGTTGAGAAACGCTCGGTGCGGAGTTACCCGTGGTTTCGGAAGGTCTCCCATGAGTTGTGTTTGATCGTGAGGACGAACGCGAAAACACGCGATACATTTTCGGAGTGTGCGTCGAATCGCTTGACGTCCCGATATCGGCCAATATTTACAGCGCAGATGCGCAAGGAGACCTTGAGGCCCCATGTGCATCTGTTTTAGATGTGAATCTCGAATGATCAAGTCAGTGAGTGGATGCTTGGCAGGCAATATTATGGGATGTCGTTTCGCGTGATCTGCGTCCGCGTGACGAAGCCTACCTCCCACACGTAAGAGTCCCGTCTCGTCTAAGAAAGGATTCAACGGAAGGAGCTTGCTCCTTCTCGATATTTCCCGTTTTGTTTGTAGATCTGCAATTTCCGTAGCAAATTCATTCAGTTGAGCTACTCGCGTGAGTGATACCATTGCTCTGTTTAACTCTTCCACTGACAAGGGGCCGGTACGTCGCTTTGCTTTTGCACACGCGTTGGCCTTGAAACGCAAACAGTATGCTACAGTCCTCTTGAGCTGAAATAGTGATGAGAATCTTGCAAACAAGTTGGTGTCCAGGGGAACGCCGTGATAAGCTACCACTTGTTTCTTGAGTTCAGGTATTTCCGGTATGCTTGACCCGGATTCGATCGGCCAGTCCTGTCGGCCTTGCGTCAGCCAGGGTGGTCCAGTCCACCACAAGAATGAAGTTTTTAGATTTCGTGGAGTTGTGCCTCTGGAAATAATATCAGCTGGGTTGTCCTTGGATCGCACATGTGACCATTGCACGTCTGGTGCTGTGCGCTGTATTGTGGCTATCCTGTTCGCGACAAACGTTTGTAGTTCTCCGGGGTGATGCTTGATCCACGCCAGTGTTATGGTTGAATCACTCCAATATTGAATATGATCGAACTTGATTGCTAGAGCTTGTCGCACAGTTTCTCCAAGCTTGACGAGCAGCAACGCTCCGCATAATTCGAGCCGCGGCAGCGTGATACTCTTGAGGGGTGCGACCCTCGACTTTGCACAGAGTAGTCGCGCGACGATGTCTCCTGCAAAATTAGTGCTTCGTATAAAGATGCAAGCGCCGTAAGCAGCCTCTGAGGCATCGCAGAACCCATGCAGCTCTATCGTTTGCGGTTCTTTGCACATGACGTGTCGTGGGATAGAAATTAATTCCATCTCCTTCATCTGCTCTTGATATTGCCTCCAGGTTGTGTATAAGTCCTACGGAAGAGATTCGTCCCATCCGATTTTTGATTGCCAAAGTTGCTGAAGTATGATCTTGGCACGAATGATTACAGGACCCATTAGCCCTAATGGGTCGTATAGTTGTGCGATAATGGATAACACCGTACGTTTTGTTGCACGTTGACCTCCCTCTATAGCGCGCGTCCGGTACTGTAGACAATCGTCAGTGGTGTTCCAACCAATTCCTAACGTCTTGATTTCGTCACATCTTGGTAACGCTTGGACGTCTGACGATGCGTCAAGGATCGTAGGCTCGTTCGTGTTCCACTTGTGAAGGCAGAATCCCGCGGATTGTAAAATCTCGGTTAATTCATCCTTGAGTCGACGTAACGTGTTTATGTCATCGCCACCGGACAGCAAATCATCAACGTAGAAGTCATCACGAATGATTCTGCTCGCTTCAGGATATCGGTCTTGGTTTTCGATTGAGACCTGATATAGGCATCGAATGGCCAGGAATGGTGCGCTGGATAAGCCATATGTAAGGGTATTGAGACGGTATTCCTGGATGGGCTCGCCTGGCTATTGTCTCCATAGAATTCTCTGCAGGTCATGCTGATCTTCTTGCACCAGTACTTGTCGGTACATCTGTTTAATGTCCGTTGTGATTGCAAATTGATGTCGACGGAATCTCAAAATTATGGAGAGTAGATCTCGCTGAATGGTAGGTCCAATGCGTAGTATATTGTTGAGTGACACTCCTGAAGATGTAGGACACGACGCGTCAAATACAACCCTGAGTTTCGTGGTTGAACTATCGGGTTTTAAGACTGCCTGATGTGGCAGGTATGTGATTATCCCAGACTCTTCCTGATTCGGGACTTCGGTCATGTGTTTCGATACTTCGTATTCTTGCATGAAGAGCGTGTATTGTTGCTTTAATTCTGGGGATTTCGCAAATTTCCATTCCATGCATCGTAGCCGTTTGGTGGCTATTTCTCGCGAGTCTCCCAGTCGATTCACGCTGTCGCATAATGGCAATCGAACTTTGAAACGTCCTTCCGCGTCGCGTTTATGCGTCAGAGTAAACTCCTCTTCGCAAATTTTGTCGCTCTCTGATAATTCCGAAGGACGGTTGCCTTCTTCTATTTGCCAGAAGCGCTCTAATTGGGTTTCGATAGCAATGGTACTGGAGACGATAGAGACAGATGCGACTGAACTTTCCGGCGCCCTTTCGAGGCCTAGAGGCCCGGCGATGATCCAACCTAATTTCGTTTTCTGCGCGATAGGTTGATTTTTTCCCAATTTGATCTGGCCGACGCATAGTAGCTCCCAGAATATGGCGCTTCCTAGTAATACGTCTATCTTCCCCGGCGTGTGAAACGATGGATCGGCTAGAATGATCGTCTCTGGTATCTGTAAATGCTTCTTGTTGATCTCCGACAGGGGGAGATTGACTGTGATTTCGGGTAATATCGAGAAAGTGAGCTTAGCTTTGAAAGCGTTAAACTTGGATCGTATCGTAGCGTGAGTCTCTGTGAATGTTGCTGTCTGAACTTTGTCAATGCCGCGGATCTGCATGTGATTCCTCCTCTGTGTAAGGCCTAATCGTTCGCAAAGTTCTTTTGTCATAAAGTTAGATTGAGATCCGGGATCGAGGAAGGCGCGACATTCTCGAACGCCTCCACTGTTATCTTGTATATTGATAATCGCCGTAGCCAGTAACCCACGATCGCTGAGACGAACGGCATGATGCGCCACGCTTGTTGATGGTGCCTCCGTAGATGTCTGCGATTCGATGGTCGTGGTTCGATTATTACTTCCATGCTCTGTACCTACGCTCGTTGGGATGTGCAGCAACGTGTTGTGTTTCTTGTGACATAGTCGACATGTACTGGAGTTGCATGTTTCGACGCTATGACCGCCCTTAAAACAATTGAAACACAATTTTAAGCGTTTTACTTCTTTACCTCTCGCCTGAGGAGTTAGATTGAGGAAAGTCGCGCAATGATATAATCGATGCTTTCCCTGATTGCATGCTAAACATTCGTCTGGTTTTGCCTCGGCGGTTACTGCCGCGACTGATTTTTTATTCGCGTAATTGGACTTAGGGTCATTACTTTGTAATTTCGCGGATTTTGATTTATCGAGTAGTAACGTCTCTAGCATCACGCACCGATCAGTAGTGAAATCGATGAATTGCTTATATGTCGCGACTTCTCTGGCCGACGCCTTGTTTTCCCATTCTCGTTTTGTGATATTATCAAACTTAGTGGTCATTAAATGGACGAGAATGGTGCCCCATTGTCCCGTGGGCTCGCCAAGCTTCTTTAGAGCACGAACGTGTTTCTCGGTATGATCTAGCAATTGACGCAACCCCGCGGAGGACTCCTTTTGCATTACGGGAAAATCTACCAACGCTTGTATGTGATGATGAACTAAAACGCGTTTGTTCTCGAAACGATTTTCAAGGATGTTCCACGCGGCCTCATAATTGTCGGCGGACATCTCCATAGATTCCAGAATGTCCGCTGCTACACCCTTGAGTGCCAACTTTAGATAGTATAGTTTCTTAATATCGGATAAGTGACTGTTTTCGTCGATAACCGCTTTAAATATATCTCGGAAGTTCGGCCACTGGTCGTAGGATCCAGCAAACGTCGGCAAATTAATTGTTGGTAACTTTATCCGATTGACGGAATTGCTTGCGTTGTCGAGACCGGAATTGTCGAGATTTCGAGTTTCTTGCGCGTCTGTTCGCCTTCTCCCGTGTTGCGAGATAAGCGCTTTGGCCGTTGCGGACGTTGCGTAATATTCAGCCTCGAAAGATTCGCGTTCGCCATCTTGTTCGGCTTCCGCGTCTAAATCCTCGAGAGCATCTTGCGTTTTGCGAAATTCGTCCCACGCACATTGTATCGCGCTTAACCTAACCTCTACTTCCTCTATTTGATGGCTCTGTATGTCGAAAACCCTCAACCAATTACGCGCGCGTGTCAATTGCGCCTTGACTCTGCCGCGTGCTTTCACGAGCTTCGCTTTTTCCGACATCGCGATTCGTGTATCCGATGTCTACATTCGCGAATTCGGTCGACCGACGGATTAGTTGTACTTAGCTTGCGTGCCGAAGTTCGGAATCCTGGGTGGATTCGCTGCTTTATGCTTCGTCTCTTTCCTCTTAACCTTCCTTCCGGACGTTGCTGCTCGTCCGTGTGTCGGTCGATTTCGTTGCTTTGTTATCCAGATTTCACTTGCTTGTGAACTATCCGGCTCGAACCAATGTTGCGGGATGAAAGAAATTTGTCACACATATAACCTTTCTCCTCGCTTTATTTTGTTAATACTGCTCACTTATCCTCAATAGCCCGTTCGCCCGTGGTGCTACTCGGCCCACCCTCCCTCCTTTCTTGCCATCTCGTGGTGCCGACTCGCGGCGCCCGGTCGGTAATCGTGCGCCTCCTATATCGCCGCGAATACCTTGAACTATTGTCCTCACTGCGTTTACGCGTGAACAGACGTACTGGTTGAATCAATCAAATTTACAATTAACGCAATAACAATCTTTTTTCAGTGTGATTTTACATTGAAAAAAAAGACTACAGGGAAATGGATTTTCTGGCAAGCATACGATTGCACGAGACAAAGACAAGACGATATTTACAAAAATATTGTATTGATATTGAAAATTTTTGAAAACTTTAATCTTGTCTCGGTCTTGATGAATATTCATAGCAAAAATCTCGTCTTGTCTTGTTTTGTTCAAATCGAGCAAACCTCTAATTTTGTTGATAGTACTGTAACAAGCTCGCGCAAGAAACAGAAATTAATAATTCTTTACAGACTCAGAGAGAATGTATGAATATAAATATTTTTAAAAGGTGGACAAGTTATGCTCATATTTATCCGATATTGTAAAAAATGACTCGAGACATTTTAAGTTCAACTGCTTCATCTGTTAGAAGAACGAGTAGAAAGATTGTTTTCAAAAGGAGCTCTCACTATGACAAACAATAGGACTCGATTACAAAATAATTCTTTAAAAGCATTAATGTGTGTCAATTCATGGATGAAATATTTTTTGAGGTCAAAAATTTGCAGATTTTAAACATTTTATAGTCTATCATAAGAAATAATAAAAAGTTATCCGATGTCGTCAAAAATGTCTCGAGACATTTTTTGCGAATTTTATTATTATAATCTATTGAATGTCTATGTTTCGTTCAAAAACGTTTTGTTGGAATGTTTTTATAATAAAGTTTCTAAATATGCATAACAATTATGTAACAACTTTTTTCTCTTATTTACAAATATATATACATAATTTTTTTAGAAACCAATAATATCAAGACAAGACCAGGAATCTGGACATCTTGTCTTGGTATTATCTTAATAATTTATTAGTAATCTTGTCTTTAACTTCTCTATATGCTACATAACTACATAAAACACTCTATCGCGAAGTTATTAGCTTCAATTCAAGTCGACACATCGTTAAAAGTGTCGTAAATAAAAAGCATCTATTAGGCTAGGTCCACAACCTTGCTTTAAGAGGCCGTAAGCCGTAAGCTTTAAGTTGTAAGTGACGATATATCGGCCACAGAACTTATGCTTTTAGGCCGTAAGAATTGGATTTTGCTCAATTCGCTTAAGTCTAACGGTTAAAGCCTAAAGACTGCGCAAAAACAATTTAAAGACAGAAATTATTGTTACTTAATCTCTTTCTACTTATGACTTAATGCTTCTTAAGGCTAGGTCCACAACCTTGCTTTAAGATGCCGTAAGCCGTAAGCTGTAAGTTGTAAGTGATGATATATTGGCCACAGAACTTATGCTTTTAGGCCGTAAGAATTGGGTTTTGCTCAATTCGTTTAAGTCTAACGATTAAAGCCTAAAGACTGCGCAAAAACAGTTTAAAGACAAAAATTATTGTCACTTAATCTCTTTCGACTTATGACTTAAAGCTTCTTAAAGTAAAGTTGTGGACCTAGCCTAAAGCAAGATTGTGGACCTAGCCTAAAGCAAGGTTGTGGATCTAGCATTACGTACCTTGAAACCTAGTTTAAAAACATAATATTGCATGGATCGTTACTTTTATAGCCGTTTATGCTCTGTGTAATAATACATACTGTCATAAGGAAAATTTCGTGAGAAGTAAATAGTCTAATTTTGATCATCTGTGTTTATTCCGTCATTCGGTACTTATTAGTTGATGTGTATACTTCATCCTCCAATATAACTTATAGGTGTAGAGGATCTGCAAAAACTATTTCTGAAATTCTTATAAAAAATATTAACACACGTTTGTGTTTCGTGCAGCAAGAATTAATTCAAATTATTTGCGGATATAACCTTGAAACTATGAAGACGCTACAGGCTGCACTGGCACCATTAATGATCATCGGCTCGTTCTGCAGTTTGGGTTTGTTCGAGTATCCCCTTGGACATTCTTGGTCGTATCTCTCTTACCTGTATGCCTTGGCCATATGGAGCTTTCTTACGTACTCCGTTTACTATCCAGTCTACTCGGTGATTAGGAGACTAATACATCCTGCAATATTCTCAATGGAAATCATAATATTAATCACAGCAATTACATCGATACTTGTTAGCTTCTTTTATTCTCTCTCTAAGGTAAAAGTTTTTAAATTTATTCATAGTCCCTAATATTACTTGATATTTTTAAATTTCTTAACTTTTTCTTTAATCATTTTTTCCATTAAAAGCATTAAAGGCGTCTTGATCTCACAATTATGAGCAAATCAAGAGAGACGGTAGTGTCTCTCGTCAAGCACCCGTCTTTTTTACCTTTTTCTAAAAAGGTAAATTTGTCATGATACAAAGAATTCCGCACAAATCTTATGGAAAATGGTTTTCGGACAAATTGCTTCAAATTTTAGTATCTTTTAGCTCATGTCAAGTTGATCAAAAGTCCTCATGGGAACAAACCCCTAAATGCTTTAGATTTTGCTCCAGGATCTTCGGAAGATCATCACATCTTATGTGGAAAAATAGTCAAAATAAGTCTTTTTTTACTAACATTAGTTTTGAATACCGTATAATACATCATTCAAGTTTAAAATGAAAATACATACATATAAGTAAAACAGATTACAATTTAATTCTAGAAAATAAGTGCGATATGTTATTCTTAGTGCACAAAATATAAAAGTCGTTTATTGAGATTTGATTTGAAATTTATACCAGCCCGTACAATGAAAAATAATTGCTTGTAATTCCAGAGTACCAATTTGTTAATGACTCGGAAAAAGAACATGGCGACCTGCTCTCAAAAAAATTTCGAGGGATGGAATAAATATAACTAAGAATAACATATCGCACTATTTTCTAGAATCAAATTGTAATCTGTTTTATTTACGTATATGTATGTATTTTCATTTTGAACTTGAACCTTGAATAACATATCAGTTATTCTTCATGGTATAATAATAAATATAATTATACTTAGATAATATATATTTTATGTATATTCACTTTGAACTGGCATCTTTATTAATAATATATCAGTTACCTTTTATGATAATATATTATTTTAGATAATCATTTAAATTTATAAAAGTTTAAATTTTTGAGGATCTTTTTTTGAACATGACTTGACCTTTTCATTTTTATGATTTTTTAGGGATATCACCTACTTTTCAGAGTACAGATATACGGAGCAGCTTTCTAGTAATGCAAGCATCACAAATGTATATGTTTTCGATTCTTAGCACGTAACTTTCTATAAGCTACAATTTATGCAATACAGTTAGAAAAAATTAAAATATATGGTATATACTGTGACGTGACGTCTTTCACCGTCCGTCACAAGGGTCGTTCGACCTGGCCGAAGTAGCGCGGCAAATTTGTCCTGTGTCCTCCCGACGCTTGTTGCGATTTTCGAGCGAGAATTTGGAGATTTTTGTCGTTGCGTTTCGCGTGATATTGTTGTTTCTTTTTGTGGATTTATTTGAAATTTTTAGTATCGGCGGCTGCGGTAGGTAATTTAATGTGCGACACATTCCACCACCTCAAGGAGGTGGCCAAAAAGAGGATAGAAGACCATATTGGAGACCCGAGGTCACCTAGAGGAGGGGTAGCGCACAGGTGATACCGTTCCATACTATCGAATTAACGCTCTGAGCAAAGCGTGTTTTCCTGTAGCCGAACTCTTTACAGGCGATTATGCCGCGGGAGCGACTAAGGCGGCGTGAGGTGATGGCCACCCTCTGCCACAGGACGAGCGAGGGACCCCGTTGTCGGTGCTACAAGGAAGCCTCTGCCGAGAGGAGACATTGAATACGGAGGCCGAGCCTGTCCGTAAAGGAACTCACCGAATCCAAACGATACGCCGGCAAGAGCAATCCAGAGGGGACCGTTGCGAGCAGCCGAAACGACGCCAGCCTTGAACCGAATCCCGCGCGCTCAAGGATCTAGGGCGCGCGACGCGATAGCAAGTCGCGAGGACTCGCGGAAGCTCGCGAGACGGCCTGCGGCCAATCAGGGCCGATAAGGCTTATCACGTGGGCCCATGGTCGCCTGCGCGCCTCCGAAGGGACCTCGGGCCCGACACTTGCGCTGTGGACACGAGACGACAGGGACGTGTGAGAGGACACAGGACTGCAAGGAAAAGCAAGCGAGTACCGAGAGGATCCTGTGGTGAGACGAACGTAACATATTGTAAAGCCGCCGATTTCCGAATTGGAGGGATCGCACGTATCCGCGAAATTGTCGTTGGATCCCGTGGGGTTGGATCCTTTCGCGAGTAACTGCGTCATGGCTGCACGCGCGCACCGCGTGATCGTGCCATCCCGTCCGATATCGTCTTGGTTTCGTTGTAATTTCGAGTCCGTTATTTCGCACGCCTGCCGCGGCCACAGCCAGGTCATTTTGTATCGTATCGTCGTGTCATAATTCTCTACCGTATCGTCGCGTCACAATTCTGTATCGTATTGTTGTGCCGTAATTTTGTATCGTACTGTTGGGTCGCCTTTTCGTGTCGCGTACTATCGTCGTCGTAGATCCTAAACTTCAAAGGATGTTCTCGCGTGTTC